CAGTTAATCAAGAACATGAATTGCTAGACTAATCTAACTTCCTTTTTTGATATGGTTGCTAGACTAGTAGATTAGAGGAATATCATAAACATAGAAAGCTGGATTTCAGTAAAGCATTTGATAAAGTCTCTTGTCATATATTTTTAGACATGATGAAGAGGTGTGGGCTAGATGTTAATAGGTAGATTCAGAGCTGGTGGAGTGGCTACATATAAAGATTAGCATCATTAATGGATGGAGGTGAAATTGGAATGGAAGGTCTCTAGTACAGGGCCCCCAGGGAGCTGTCCTTGGTCCTATGCTGTTTAACATTTTTATCAATGACTTGATAAACTCTGACAGTATGCTTATTAAAAACAGTAGATGATACAAAGCTGAGAGGGACAGCTAGCACATTGGATATTAGAGTCATGATCCCAAAAGATAGCAAAGGGCTAGAATTATAAGCCAAATCTAACGCTATGAAATTTTGTAATTATACATGCAGAGTCTTAAGCCTGGTTTAAAGACAAAACCAACACAAATTGCAACAAGTACAGGATAAAAGAGATATGGTTAGAAAATTATTCTTATGCAAAAGATCGGGGTTGGGGTATGGTGGACTAGAAGCTAAACAGGAGGCAAAAATATGGCATCACAGCAAAAAAATGCAATCTTACTTTAACACTTCAATGGATTTTTGAACTCAGAGGCACGTATGATCCCTTTACCAATGCATCTCTCAATCCAACTTTGATAGACTTAGCTCTTCTCAGCAATGCAAGGATCTAAGACATCTCCAAAAGTCTCATGTTGGAAAATGCTATCCACATCCAGAGAAACAACTATGGAGTTTGAATGCATATTGAGGCATACTATTTGCTCTTTTTTTTTCTTCTGTCTTGTTTTGTTTCTTCTTTCTTGTGGTTCCTCCTATTGGTTCTAATCCCTCCTTACAACATGACTAATGTGAAAATATACTTAATAGGAATGTATATATATAGCCTATATCAGACCACATGCCGTCTTGGGGAAGGAAATGGGAAAGGAAGGGGAGAAAATTTAAAACTCAAAATCTTGTGGAAGTGAATGTTGAAAACTAAAAATAAATTAATTAATAAGAAAATTTTAAAAAAGAAATTTGAGTCAAGTTCACTGACATGAAGTTTAAAGACTATCTTTTTCCTAGTTTTAAAAATCTAAATAATGTTCATTTACTTCCAGACCTACAGTACTTCTCCAATTTTGTACAGCACTAAGGAGGTAGGATGCATTATCACCCTGGCCTCTTCTTGTCCTATGCTCAGCATCAATCCTTTTTCCACCTTCTTCCCTAACAGGTATAGCCATTACCTGCCTCCTGGTGTCCCACATTATCTGCTACCTAGAGCCTTGTATCACCCAAAACTTTTACTCAAGTCCTTCTGTATTGCAAATGGAATACCATAGGACTGCTGTTCAAAGGTCTCTCTGGTGGAAGGATATTCTGGTGGAGGATTCAGGGATGCGGTAGAAGCAACCCAGGGAGCTTCAAGCCTTGGTTGTGGGATTGGAGGATTATAGGAAATTCTTACGGTTGGGAAGTTGGATCCAAGACCTTTGCTTTATTTTGAGTGTGAATGTGAGCATGTATGTGGAATTTTGTCATTAGGAGAAATTGTCAGCATTGATGCTTCTTATAAATAGTTATAGAACTGACAAAAATGAAAAATTTTTAGTGTTTATATAAAATTCATGTTAACTACAGTCATTTAAGAGAACTAGATTCTCTTATGGGAATTATGATACACATAGTAACTGTTATGTACAACATTAATGTGACAGATTAATTTCTGCATAAGTTTTATTTGAATGCATTAATCTAACATTTATGCTCAGTCTTCTCTTGATTATGTAGCGTGGACATGTACTCATACCGATACATCAAAGATCTTTGATTTTGTCATTGGGTGATTTCCCCATGTGGGAATTCCTTTTCCTGATGCAGATCACAACCTGTGTTTACCATAGTCTTGGAGGGTCATCGAGGTTCAGAGAGGATAAGTAGCTTGCCTGTGGTCATAAAGCTAGTGTCAGAAGGTGGATTTGAATTGGGGCCTTCTTGACAATGCCTTACCTTCTGTAATGTATCATCTCTCTTCAAAAACAAAAGGGAGGCAAGTGTACACAATGATAAATAATTTGACTAGTTACTGCTCAAAAGAGATGCTTCTAGTTTCAGCCCTGCTACTGGCTATATCACTCGTTGTTGTTCAGTCATCTCAGTCATGTCCAACTCTTCCTTCCTTCCTTCCTTTCTTCCTTCCTTCCTTCCTTCCTTCCTTCCTTCCTTCCTTCCTTCCTTCCTTCCTTCCTTCCTTCCTTCCTTCCTTCCTTTCTCTTTTCTTGGCAAAGATATTGGAATGGTTTGCCATTTGCTTCTCTAGCTTATTTTACAGATGAGGAAATTGAGGCAAACAGGGTTAAGTGACTTGCTTAGGGTCACACAGCTAATAAGTGTCTGAGGTTGGATTTGAATTCAGGTCTTCTTGATTCCAGGTCCAGCATTCTATCCACTGTGCCACCTAGCTGCCAATATGACTCCTTAGGTTACTCGTAACCTCTCTGGGCCTCCTTTTTCTCAATCTGACAATTCATTTATTCATTCACAAGCATTTAGTAAGTTCCTACTGCATGTTAGACATTATCCTAGGCACTGAGGATACTAAGACAAAACCAAAACATTCCTTGCCCTTGAGAAGTTTAAATCCTATTTCCAAACATATGTTATCATCTATAAGGACATAGATAAATCATAGTACTAGGTGAGGTGATGCAGAAAGAGCATGCTTAGTTTCTTTGGGGGAAGGAAAAGAGTCAATATAAATCCAAAATGCAATTATTACCTGTTTGGGATTTTGCCAATAGCCATGAGAAATGCCTAATAAAAACCATTTAGAGAAAAAGGGTAGAATAGGAAAAAGGATAGTTTTATATATGTCTTCCTCCCCCCAGAATGAGATGAACATTAGCATTCTTTATTTATTCACTAGCACACATCATGGTGGGTGCTAGGTAACTCGAAAACTGAAAATAACAGAAAAGTCTGTTATTTGATTGAAAACAACAGAGAAAAACCGAGACCCACAAGATTCCACAGTCTAGGAATTCTTATGTTTTTTTTTTTTTAAAAAGATCTTAGTCGTGTCTATTCACAATGACGACTGCTGGAAACAACAGAGAATATGTATTCCTGCCAAGGAGAGATTCAGTGGGATTGCTTTTTAAATGAGGTGTCACATCTCTCCCTCCTTCCTTTAGTCTGTCCTCACAGGTACCCCCTCTGTCTCCTAAGACATCAGACTGATAGGTCCAAGGGACTCCTGCTGGTTATCTCATCTATTAGTACTCTCTCTCTCCTGAAGTTATGCTTTTATTACTTTGTGACTACTTTGCATTTGCTTACTTATGTATATAGGATCTTCGAGCTAGAGCTTGAAGTGAGTTCAGAGGTCATTTAATCCAACTGTCTGATATTTGGCCAATAGAATGTAAGTCCCTCTATAGAAAGGACTGTTCTCTCTCTGTCTCTTTCTTTATCTCTCTCTCTCTCCTTTCCTTCCTTTCTTCATTCCTTCTTTCCTCCCTTTTTCTCTCTCTCTTTCTTTCTCTTTGTATCTTCAGTGCTTAGCAAAGGCCTTGTACATAGTGAGTACTTAATCATTCTTTGTGGTATTAAATTGAATCAGCAGTTGGATCTGCTGAAATTCTGAAAAAAAACCTCTAAAAGTGCTGGGGCATCTAAGGACTCACACCTGTATGGATCTAACTTTCACCAGCACGATCTTTCCTGAAGTAAGAAAAAAGAGCAAATGGAGGTTGAGAAGTGGCCATGTTTCACTCTTATTTCCTCCTGTCTGATTTCCTAAATCTGGACACTGTGTCAGTGACAAAACAGCCCCCTGTACACAGCACAGTGGGCTTCTTTTCTTATTTCTCCTACCCTAAACCAAACATTCTGGGAAAAACAATGAGCCACTCTTCCTATGAAAATATAATTCATCTCCCACTTTGAAGGTACAATGCTTCTGCTTTTTAGGATGTCCGAGACTTTACCTGGGATCTATAAAGCTAATTACAGAATGAATACAGCTGTGTTTAGTCAAAGCACTTGCTCACTGGTGAACAAGATTACTGTTTTTGTTTTAAGTCAGTAGAGGCCATACTTCTTAGAATAGAACTTATTCTCCTCTCAGAGTGACTCAACTTGGCCTTCAGACACTCTGACACAAATTTCCTTGTATAATTAACATTACTAGGCCATTTTATTCCTTCTCTAATATAAGTATTACCATAACAACGTGTGTGTGTGTATGCATGCATACCAAGGACTGATGCTAGAACTGTCTTTGTAGGCAACCATGGTCCTGGAGCCATGGATGGTAGAAAATTTGTCATATGGGGGACATTTTGACCTGTAAGCTGGTTTTGAACTTTTAATTCAGTTTCCTGACCTAAAAATTAGATAGCTAAAGGCAGGCAGGTATAAAGAAATTTCCCAACTGAAATCATGGTTTGGGGTGTAGGAGAGAGTTTTATACCACTACTGCCAACTTATATAGTGCCTTAAGGTTTTCAAAACACATTCTATACATTATTTCATTTGATATTTCCAACAACCCTATAGAAATAAGTATTACAGATGAGAAAAGGAAACCTCAAAGAGGTTAAATGACTTGCCCAGGGTGACATAGATAATAAGTGTCTAAGATGGGATTCAAACTCAGGTCTTCAAACTCCAAGTCAATTCACTATGTAAAAAAGGGAGAGAGTTAAGCCTTGGTATTATTCTATAACTATAGTTCCTAGATATGTAGATGAACTTTTGAATTAATAGGAAGGTAATTCTCTGCTTTAGTTAATAACCTTTCCAAATTTCCCCAGAACAGCAGAAAACTCTGCAACCAGAACCACTTGAAGTGATGCTTGTTCCATGGCCTCCTCAGAATGTACGTAGATGGTCAACAAGGAACATCTCTTACCTCACCTCCTGTCCTATGAGTTCCGTGGGCACTGGGTAAAGGAATGGGGAAAACAGAAAAGAAAAACAGAAGAGTTAAAAGAATAAATACACATTGCTTCATTGGAGGCTTGAAAAGTAGAACATTACTCTGGGATTTTCAGGATGTATATAGCTTTGCAAAACATACAGAGATGTACACCGAGGATGAGAATCACTTATTATTCATGTATCAAATTCCCCCTTCCCCAAATGTGTGGACAATGAAACTATTTACTTGTCCCAACTCTGAATGTGTTGATACATTTTCTCCCTTTAAAACCAAAGTCCATAGAACTTAACCATTCTTGTCTACAAACTTTGTGACATTTTCCTTTTAACTCTGCAAATTGAAATCCAAAGGAACAAGCCCTTCTGCTCATACTGCACCTGTAGAGCTTCTATGTTCCTGTCCTTGCCTGATAGGGAGCTGGCCATTCTGCAGGATGGGACCAAACTGATAACTGGAGTTGACTTTGCCAAGGCTCTTGTTATTTGGGCTGGTAATGGTATTTATGATTCTGATTGCAGGTGGCATCATTCACCCTTTACTTGCCAGAAACATGACCTACCAGATACAAACTAGAACAGAGAGGGTCTAAGTGGCCACCTGTTTATGATAACTGGATGCTCAAATCCAAGTGAAAGGACAAACTAGTGCCTAAATTACAGGGTGCAAGAAATGACCTTCATCTGAAACAGACCCTAACCAACCTGGTTAAGATGGAGAATAAATACTGCATGTGATGATCATATTGTTCTTTATCTATTCTGAAACCTAGGATTTAGCATCTGAGGCAAGTTTCCACATCCAGTGGTCTTTTACCCCTATTTGTAGTTGGCCATGCACATCACAAAGTCAATTTTTGATTGGAGGTAGTTTTGCAATGTGAAGGATATTTACTTTTAGGGCACATTGACAACCAGAACATCTTGGACAGGAAAGGGGCTCTGGGTTAGAGAAACATACAAACATAGGATTTGCATGACAAATATTTTCAGGACACCTGAAGAAACAATGCCTCTCTCGCTATTATTTCTCCTGTGTCTGTCTCTTGGACACCATGTCTCCCTATGCCACACCCTCCAAAATATGGGTCCAGAATCTAAGGCTTGCTTTGGGGAAAGAAAAAGAGTCTGATGAATGAAATGTTGCTTGCTGCATATCATTTTCAAGCTGGGGAACAAATGGTTATCCATCTCTGAATGAACGAATCCCTGGTCCCTGGGTCCTCTGTATCAGGAAGCTTTGTTTGCTCCCAGCATGCACCCCTCAGCCAGCTTCCCTCAGATGTCCAACTTCAAAGCTTCTGGCAGAGCACATGGATGAAAGCCACTGTAACTGATCTGAAGCTATCAAAATTCCCATGAAACTAAGTGCATAAGTTTAAAGAGGATGGGGGGTAGGGGACAAATGGAATGCAAGGAACATAAGTGTTTGTTGGCCTTTGTTCTTGGAAGGAGGGAGTGCTTGGCAAGGATAGTATTGGAAACTTTAGGGAAGATACTCTGAGCCTGAAAGCAATATTGCCAGATGCCCATTGCCAGACTCTCTCTAGGCCTGATGAGGGTTTGGGCTCACCCAGGGAACTCCCAGAGGGACAGCAGATGCTCACCTCGTATTGCCTTAGATCTTGTGCGAGCTCTCTTGTCGTCATTTTCTAAGCTCATCTGGAATAAAAGAATAATAAGAAAATCATTAACAAGAATGCTCAGCTAGCTTCTACCCAAAGCATTGAGTAAAAGTAAAGGACCAAATTATAAGCCTGGTAATCAGATAAGGCAAGACTAACCCCACTTCCTTTTTGATAGGATTCTTGGACTGGTAGAGAAGGAAAACAAGGAACATTAGGACAACCGAATGTCAGCAAAGCATGGGCAGTCTTATAAGTTATCTTAGTAGACAAAATGGACTATGTGGGCTAATTGACAGTACAATTTTGGTGGATTCGGAATTAAATGATTGAACCAAGTCATTAAGGGGTCAGTGTCTTGGAAGGAGGTCTCTAGTGGAGTGCCCCAGGAATCTGTCCTTGGCCTTGTGTCATTCAACATCTTTGTCAGTGATTCAAATGAGGGTGTATGTAGTGGCATGCTTATGAAACTTACAGATGGTGTGAAATTGAGAGGGATAGTTGACAATGCTGGATAACCAAATCATGATCCCCAACAATTACAATAGGCTAGAAGATGAAAATGGGAGTAAATGTAAAATCCTACACTTAATATAAAAATGTAATTGAACAATGATAGAATGGGAAAGATGTGAGTAGACAATTTGTGGGAAATTAAGGGTTTTTGTAGACTGCAAGCTCAGTATAAGTCAATAGTGTGACATGACAGCTGCTCAAGCAAACACAATCTTTAGGCTATATTAAGTGTCAGGAAAAGAGAGGTGATAACTTTGTTCCACTGTTTCTGGATCAGATTGCATTTGCAGAATTGTGTTTAGAGCCAGATGGAAATTTTAAGGGCATTGATCATACTTAGGAACTTAGAACTTTGGAACACACCCCAAAGAAGGTAACCAGGATGTCAAGAAGACTGGGGCCATGTTATATAAGAATTAGTTGAGAGAATTAGGATGTTTAGCTTGAGAAAAAATGACTTAAATGTCAACAAAGCATAGGACAGTTTTTAAATTATTCTAGTGGACAAGATGAAAATACGTGGGTTAATTGATAGCACAATTTTGGTGGATTCAGAATTAGTTAAATGTATGTATTTGGGGGTTGGTGGTTCGAAGAACATGATAGCTATCTTCAGGTGAGGAGCTATCCTGTGAAAAAGAGACTGGACTTGTTCTGCTTGGCTCCAATAGGCTGAGGTAGGGGCAATATCTATAAGCCACAGAAAGAGCAATTTTAATTTTATATAAGAAAGAACTTCCTAAAAATGGACATTATTATGTGGAATGGGCTGGCTCTGAATTTCCTTGTCACTAGAGGTCATTAAGCAAAGAATAGATGATCAATTTTTTTTTAAATCTAAACTTTTTTTTAATTAACAGGCATTCATTTTCTCTTCTCCTCTCCCCAAGAAGAAAAACAAAACAAATATGCATAGTTGGGTAAAACCAGTTCTCACAAGTGATGTTATAGAGAGGATTCCTATGCAAGCACATATTTGACAAACTGTGACCAGAGCTTAGCACAGTGCCTGGCACACAGTAGGCACCTAATCAATATTTATAGACTATTATTGACTGCCTGCCTCTGAAATGTTCATTTCAGCTCAGTGAGTAGTAGTTAGTAGTTAAGTGAACTAACAATAGAGTTTGCGGTTGGTTTGTTTTTGTTGGCACTAATATAGCGCTTCCAGGTTTCTGAAGTGCCTTACATACATTATCTTATTATCTCCTTTGATTAGGAACTCTTTGCCCCAAAGAGAGCAGGGAATAGCTCCTGGTCCTAGATACTGACAATAAGTGGCAGCAATTCTGCACATGGGGAGAAAACTCTGTGGGACCACCTGCATAGCCACAGGTTCAGAGTGAGGCTGATCGTCTGATACCTCCTAAGTGTCTGATTAGCTTCACAATTGCATCAGTTTTGATATTCACACCTCATCATTGCCTTCTGCCCCTCGACCCTCCTGAGTGGAGGGCCAAACCAAGAGTTCCTCCCAAATCCTCCATTTAAGGAGAGTGCCCAGGTGAGTCATCTTTTCATTTCTGCCATGATGATCCTCCTTTCAACTTATACAATCATTCTCCTAGACCAGCACTTTCTTCCCTTTCTCCCCTTTTTCAGCTATCTTTGTGTGTTGATTTCTCTCATTAGACTGAAAGCTCATTGAAGGCAGGAACTCCTGCTTTTTCATATTTGTATCCCCAGCACTTGGCATAGTACCTGGAGCACAGTGGGTGCTCAATAAATATTTATTGACTGACAATTAGCTCTTTGATGATTGCATTCATTTAAGTATAATGTAACAAACATAATAACAATATCTAATAACATCATGTGGTAGTGTGATATACTGGATAGAGTATTGGACTTGGTGTCAGGAAGTCTTGGGTTTATGACCTGCCTCATACACTTACTAGTTATATGACCCTGAGCCTCAGTTTCCTTCTCTGTAAAAGGAGGGAGGGAATTGGGTAAAATGAATTCTTAAGTTCCCTGAGAAGCTTCTCAAAAAGTGTAACTTCTTCACAGGGTCAGGTTTAAAGATCAAGGCTTTAACTTATTCTGTTAGCAATGCCTATGTGAGCAATCATCTCTATGTGCATTTTTCTATGTGCATAAATATAAAATCCAAATGTACACATGTATATGTAAGAAAAGTCAAATCACAAAGGCACAAGACCACCATGTAAATACTTAGGAAGGTGGTGGAAAGACCTTTGATAACTACTATGGAAATCACTCTAAAAAAGCCCCCTCCACTCTAGCCACAAATGACCCTGCCACTTTCTAACATGGTGTGAGAACTTTTTTTAAGGTACAAGGTAACAAACCTGGGCTGGTGATACTCAAACTCCTCACACTTCTGCTAAAACTAGAAGGGAAGTTAGAAAGTTGGAGTGGAAGTAGCTTAGTCATCAGGTCCAACCTCCTTACTTTTGAGGTGAAGAAACTGAGAGATCAAAAGGGAAATTATTTTCTCATAGGCATAGACCTGGGAAGAAGGGAGGTGGTACAAAGCTGGGACTAGAACCCAGATCTTTTGACTCCAAATATTATTCTCTTTCCACTCCAGCATATGCTGGCAGGAATGGGTACACAGTGAGAGGAAACTGTCTCATTGCTGCCCCTTTCAACTGTCTGTGGGACAATACCTGGTGCAGCACAAAGAATCAATAGGCTATGGAGTTGGAAGAGCTGGGAACAAATCCTAGCTACCATTTACTACCTTGGGCAATTTACTTCAACTTTCTCCAGTCTCAGTTTCCTCATCTATAAAATGAGAGGGTTGGACTACATGGTCTCAGAGGTCCCTTTTAGATCTATGATGCCATGAATTTATGAACAACATGCATCTGTTATGTGCCAGACACTGTTAGATGCTGGGGGTACAAAGATGACTGTGGAATACACCCTGCCTTTAGGGAGCTTACTGTCTAGCTGGAGTAGATAACACATGCAGGGATAGGTATATACAAAATAATTTTGAGAGGAAGGCATCCATGGTTCAAGGGATCAGGAAAGGCTTCATACAGAAGGTGATACTTGAGCTGGGCCTTGAAGGGAAGTAGGGATTCTAGGAAGCAGAGGTCAGGAGGCAATGCATTCCACACATGGAGCTTAGCCAGTACGAGGGCACCGAGACGAGAGATGGAGTATCATGAAGGCCTGAAGGCCATGTAGGAAGGCCAGTTTGGCTGGACCATGGTGTGAGCTGCTTTAGTGCCTTCCAATTCTAAATCTAGGCTCTTATAGAGTCAATTAAAGGCTACTTGGAACAGGGACAGTGGGAGTTGGTGGTCATTGACTAACTAAACATATTTGCCAAGTCATAAACACATCCCTAGGCCGTTGCTTTTACTTTGGAAATTAAGATCCACCATCATTAGAAAAAGAAGTTGTATTCCAGATAAACCCAAAGACACTTCTGGGTTTCTAAAACACCTGACTAAGAGAACAGACCCTGGGAACAGGATCTGATATATTACAAGAAATGTGGTTGTGATTTGCCAAAAATTGTTCAACCCCAAAAATGATACTTGATCTGCTCTTGCAGATCAAATTAGGAAGCTTATCAATGTCTGGGAGCTCACTGAAAGCCCCAAATCTCTTCACTAGGAGAAAGGGAAGGGAACAAGAATTTATTAAGCACTTACTATGTGCCAGGCATTATGCTAAGCACTTTATAAATATTGTTTCATTTGATCTTAAGAACTCTGCCAGGTAGGTGCTATAATTATCCCAATTTTAAAATTGAGAAAACTGAGGCAGACAGAGGTGAAGAAATGACTTGCCTAGAGTAATACAACTAATAAATGTCTGAAGCTGGATTTGAACTCAGGTCATCCTGACTACAGGCCCAATATTCTATTCACTGCGCCACTTAGCACAACCTCAATGTACCCCCACTCTCTGATTTGGCTCAGGCATGAAACAAGCTCAACAAAAGAGATCATTTTCCCCCAATCTTATCTTCATCAGTGATTAGGTTAAGTGTTATTTAAAACCAGGTAAGATATCTCAGGCCAAGCAATCTATCTCAAGTACCACCTATTATTAACTCTGTCAAGTTCATTTTGAATGGTTCCATCCCTGGTTGAAGGAGAGAGACCAATTATTCAAGGATAATGAGTATAAGAGATTCCTCAAGTACAGAATGGATTTGTACGATGAAAGATTCCTCATCCTGTGAAAATTAAACAATAGAAATTCAGGATCTTGAAGTGAGGAAATTTGGTCTGATTCATCCTGTTTTTTTTTCTTTCTATCTCTTAGTGACCTGTGGAGACAAGCCTTGCCGTGCCTGTATTGTCTTGTTGACAATTATGAACTGTCCTGCCTTTCTTTGTACCCTGTCGATCCCTGAACCAGGAGTATTTGCTTTATTCACGTTTTCTGTTATTTCAAGAACAACACTAGCCGTGAAAAAAAAAAAGACAAAGAGAGATGGTGAGCTAACATAGCAATGGTCTGCCTCATTAGAAATGCACCATTCTCTCATGAGTCCTGGGGTCCCAGGCTTCAGAATTAAAGGGCAGTCCT